AAATATATATATATATATATTTATGTATATATATATATATATATAAATGTAAATATAAAAATACGAGTGGTATGAGATATAAAAATACAAATTGACACTTTTTGTCAAAAATATTTCATCCTGAAACTTATATTCAGGATTGTATACTTTGAAAATAAAATGTAAAAAAAATTTGACACAATGGTCTTTAATCTGAAGTTTAAGACTTCAGTGTTACTAATTTTTGCTGGATTGGGGGCTGTATTCCCTAAAAGGAGGAAAACAGCTCCTAGTCTCAACAATGAATGTGCTGGGAGATCCTAGATTCAACAATATGCTTAAGTATTCATTTTTTTGGTTTTCACCACAGACAAAAACTACCATCCCCCCATATCCTTCTAGATTTGGGTAAACGTTGAACTTGAAGAAGAAAATTTGAAGGGTCAGATCTTCCAAAAAAAAAGGGGTTCAGATGTATATTGTCATTTTTTTAAAAATGTTTTGAAGAAGCATTTTAGCATTTAATATTATCCTGCGCCTGTTTCATCAGTTCTTATAATCCTGCCGGCTTGTAAAATGATGCAGTCGGACCGAGCAGGAAAATAGACGCAGGATTTTAATGAAAGCGAACAAAATTTATTTATGTCATACTTTGTTGAGTGCAAGAGAAAAGTGTAGTTTACTCCATGAGTGATTAGTCTTTCTAGTAGGGAAAATCTTGCAAAATATCCGAAAATGTCTGTATTTAGGGAACTCTTAGATATTACTATTGGTTTAAGAAATAGTTCGAGTGATTTTCACGAAGTTTAAGGGGAAAAATGTCTTTATTTAAATTTATGCATACTTGGGACAAAAATAGATTTAAAAACAGGATGTGGTTTTTAAAACTGCGAGAAAGAGCAACTTGAATAATTAATTAGTAAAAAATTAGCAGTATTTTTATAACGAAGAAACTAACAGGAAAAGATTAATAGAAGCTTTTTATGTTATAAATGCATACATACATATGCATCTATATATAATAAACTTTTTACAAAGTTAAATAATCTGCCACTGTTATGCATATTTTTTGCAATCTGATCTTCCAAATTTTCAAAAGTTAATAAGGAAATAAAATAATTTAGAATGCATNAAAAAAAAAAAAAAAAAAAAAAAAAAAAAAAAAAAAACATATGTTACTATTAAATTAAGTAGTGAAAAATTTTTATTTGNTCTATATATAATAAACTTTTTACAAAGTTAAATAATCTGCCACTGTTATGCATATTTTTTGCAATCTGATCTTCCAAATTTTCAAAAGTTAATAAGGAAATAAAATAATTTAGAATGCATTCTAATGAAATAAGCAAAAAAAAAAAAAAAAACGTATGTTACTATTAAATTAAGTAGTGAAAATTTTTTATTTGGTACTAAATGAATTTGAACAGTAATAATTATAGAAATATTAAAAATATCTCCCAAAAATTAAGTAAACATTTATGCTTAAAACAAATCAAAATTTAAACTTCAATCTTAAACATGCTAAAATTGTTTGCTGCTGTGAAAATAAGCTTTCCCTACATTAAAAAGTTATGAGTTTCTGATGCCACTGTTTTGACCAACAGACTTGAAATCACAAAGGTATTTGTTTAACGAGTTGAAAAATTTAATCTCATTTATAAATTTATTGCAATTGCTTAAAGTTATTACAATTTTGAGAGATTCTTTTAAAAACTTTTTTATAAATTTTTGGATCAAATAATGGCTGTTTACCCATTATTGAAGAAAAACTTGTTTATATCTCTCAAGATTTTTATTTTCTAAGTTCCCACTTGACTTGATTTCAAAAGCAGCAAAAAAACTTAAATAAAATATATAAAAAAAATTAGAAATGAACAGTTGATGTTTCCAGATAAAAATTCTAATATTTGGATCAATATTTTTAAAGTCTCTAAAGAGATAAAAACTGTTTCCAATTTAAACAGTTATATAATGCACAGGGGTTGGACAGAAATATGGAAGCACTTTTATAGTAATTCTATGAAACAATATTTCTTTTAGCAGCAAATGTTTTAAAGATTTTTCATAGCAAAACTGTTGATACAATTTGAAAAATCATGCTTGAAGCTTTTAAAAATGATGTCCTTTTTACCCATGCCAAATTGGAATTGATCAAAAGGAAGAGATGAAGGGAATAAGTTCTTTATAGCTTTAATACCAGCAATTTTGAAGTCAATCTTTAGAATTGTAATGTTTATGTAAAAATGATTTTAAAATTATAGTGGTCTTGAAAAGGGAAAAATATTTTCCTGTATTCTATTTTCTTCACGTTTTGTATTTTATTATTTTTTTAAGTACAACAAATACAAGTAATCGTTCATTTTGTTGCGATTAACATATTAGCAAAGGGCCCTTGCATTAAACTTGAATTATTATATGATATATGAGCAGAACCTCCTAGAAAATTAAAATACAAAATTTTTTTTGACAGTACTGTTAAGTGCTGATAAATAGTAATTACAACTGAAAAAATTATATCGGGCATAAAAAATAAAATAAAATAACTGTTACCTACTATTATAATCTAGAAAAAATAATAATACTTAAATTTGTAAAATTGCGTTCGAATTGTAACAAATTTTAAAAAAATAATATTTAACTGATTTTTAAGATAACCTTTGCAAAAAAAGAAAATAATCATTAAAAAATTTTGTTCCATAAACTATCAAAAATTTTTTAATTTTTTAAGGTTTTTGAACTTTTAAATTAAATAACTGTTGGGGTTTAAAAAATTAATTACACTAAAACAATTCTGAAGTTCAGGAAAATTATTGGGGATGGGCACCCCCAACTCTACACCTAAGTTCTTCTGTCTGAGAGTAAACCTTTCATATTTTTCTGATCTTGTAAAATTTCTTTTAGTTTCATTTATTTCAAGCCCGTAGCCAAGGGGGGCATGTGAGGGCTAATTCCCACCTAGCAGTGTCATTTACCCCTCTCCTACTAAAAGATTTTTTTTTAAAATAAAATTATTATCATATTAATCGATTTATTGCACTATACGGCTCTGCTCTCTTCTCTCATCAGCATCTACTGTGTGGCAGAAAGTAAAGGCTAAAGGCAGTTGAAAATTTTTATAATTTTTGTTAATTCATGCTGATGACAAAAATAAAAAATAAAACTATCTTTATGAGAGAAAAATTAGACCATATAATTTATCTATCCAATGAGAATGCATGGACAGGACATCATTTACACTTTGTTTTATGTGCATGGATACACTACCTAGTTAATGTATTAATTTTATTATGTTAATCAATATTTAATATAAAAAACATTTATCCATCAAGCATATAAATCTGAAATAAAAAGCTATTTATTGACAATACCTATTAATCTTATTTATGGTTGGTTGTCCCACATGCAAAGAGAAGTTTCCTTCCTCTCCCTGAGCAGAAATTCCAATTCAAGAAGGGTTTGCATTTTTTCAGACACATATAAATTTCAAAATTCTGCACTTAATGCACAGATCCCAAGAATATTTGTTTGATTCAGTTTATTTGAAATATGTTATACTATTCTGTTTGTTGTTACTAACTTGAAAAAATATCTCTTCGACTTACAAAATACCTTATTTTCTTTTATTTAGATGCAATTGTATAATGCTGCTAGTATGGCTTTAATCTGCGCAGCTAATTTTAGAGATGCTGGAAATTCTTACAGAAATTTCATTGAAAATTCTGCAGATGCTCTAAGATCAATAGATCCTGAATTTATTTTAAAGGTAATTTAATCAGCTTTAAGTAAATTGCTCTATGCTATCGCTTTTAAATATTATATTACCATTTATTTATGTAATTTGTAATAACTGTTTTTACATCAGACTTGATAAATGCAGTAATTTCCTGTAAACAGGCCGCAGTCTATCGGTGTTTAAAACTGAAGAGGCCAATTCAAATAATTCATTGTTGCCTAGCCACGCATAATAATTTTGCAATTGCAGTGGATTTATTTAAAACCAGATTTTTACTGAAAATTTTCCAAAATTACGGACCTAGCTTGTAATGTTTTCTCTGAAAGCGTTATTTATTATTATTTTGATTAAAATATGGGGTGATAAAAGAAGTCTTCGATTGAGGAAAAATCGTATGCCATCTACAAATAAGGTTACAAATTCCGTTTTGTAATTTAAGAAAAAACTAGTACGCCATATTTTTTACTCTCTTCTCCTCATCTGTAAATATTTTATTTTCAAATTGTCACAAAACTAGAAAATAAAATCTTTTTATTCAATTCATCGATCCTGTTTCTGCAGATGTTTTTAGTTGAAATTCTTTTTTGTTTATTTTTCAACGCTGATGAAAAATTTCTGCCTCTTTTGCTAACCAATGTATACTTTAGGGAAGAAAAAAAGAAACATTTTATTTCCTTTTTCCGAATTTCACACGTTTCTTAATTGCAAGAGGAGAGGGAATTTCCTCTTTCCTAGTTTTACTCACACTAAATTTATGTTGTGCTGTCTATGTCATAAATATTTTTAACATCACACAACATCTTCTGCAAGATTTTCTCCTCCCATGTCTGCTGTAACCATTGTTACTTTTCCCTTGCTTGATGTCAGATGACGTGGAAAATGAACTCAATGATGAATTACAGCGTTTCTTTTGTTTCAAAAGTGAAGAATCTAATTTTGATAGATTTGTTTAAATATAAGGTTGGAAATATTTGAAAAATAAATAAGAAGTTGGTGATTTATTTTCATGTATTGATTAGTTTATTGTTTATCGCTTATAAATTTTTTCTGATTGGTGATATATGTTTCTTCTGTAAGTAAGTATCATTCTCAATTCTTTCTTTTTATAATAAGTGTATATAAGAAAGGATTTATTACTAATAACTATTTTCTAAGTGTAGATTTTATGTTTTAAAGGTTATTATTTTTCAAGTGTGTTTTCATGCATGCGGTACGTGTTTGTCATGCATGTGATAAGAATCGATGTTGTTCCCATTATTCCGCATTTTTGAAAATGTTACCTTTCTTTTAACTGTGAATAACTTTTATTTAATATCAAACTTTAATTATGTTTTCGAAAAGTGAATCAAAACCAGATTTATCTGTAGTACTTCCTCCAGTTGTGACATTTTATACTTTATTGTATGCTAGTGAGAAAAAAAAAAGTGCAGCCTATATGATGATAATTGAAATTTTTAAATTTATGTTTTTTGCATGTGCAGCGTATCTATCGGAAATTACTGTAATCATAGCTTATGGTTCCCTTTAACTTTTTTATCAAGTAAACTAAAAGCTGTACTTATTATTACAATTTTCATTCTAAATAAGAATGCATAGGCACTCCTGATTATTATGATTAATATATTTAACTGATATTAGCTATTTTTGTTGAGTATAATAGGTGCAATGTCGAGGAAAATATATACTGTATAAATTTTTCCACTTTTAAAATTGTAATTTCTTGTTTGTGTGTTCTAACTTTGCAAATACATGAAACTTCAAAGCATTTATATATTGAACACACAAATTTTTAAAAATGTTCCATTTTATTACTTACACTATTTTGAGAAGGATTATCATTGTTGTTTTAGGTTGCTATTTATGCTCGACAAGAGCTAAACATTAGGTCTGTGTGTAATTTTCTTCTTTCTTATGCTGCATTTCATGAAGAAACACGTATATTTTTGGAAAAATACTTTGATGCTTCAATAAGATTACCTTTGGATTGGCTTGAGGTTGCTGACATATACCAAGTGAGTGTTATTTATCTATATATACATAAAATGGAGCTTTTATCAATCATATATTTTGTAATGATGATACTCAGACTTAAATAATGCTTTTGTTGACAATTTCTCTAACTGTTGATCGTAATTCACAAGCATGCCATTTGTAATATTTTAGAGGGTTGTGACAAGATCTTTGACTAATTCAGTGTTGCACCCTCTCTTAGTAAATGAACTAAATGCCCTCTTCCTGAGAGGAAGATTAACGTTTTTGAGCACTGCCTATTAATCTTTGTAGACAATGGAAGGATGTATTAAGGTCATAGGGCTTGATATATAACGCTTTCTTTCTAGTTTATGTGTAGAATTATATCTAGTCATGGCGCTTTTGAACTAGGTTATGTAACCAGGCCTACTCTGTTTGTAGCATTGTATTGGTTAATGCATGTGCATCTCTTTTACTATAAGAAACAATGTGATTTATGTTTTAAAATCATCAAACCCTGGTTAACTAGCAAGCAAAAATAAAATAATGTTAATAACATATTACCCTAGTATCTTTATATTAAATGATAAAAAATAAAGAAATGTAAATACTGTTATTTCTTGCTATCTTTATTATTTGTGAGTATATTTAATATTATATAAAATTTTTAAAAGGAAGTCAGGAAATATATTTTTAATCTTTGTAGAAAATTTTTAATCACTACCTATAAGTTATATCTTTCTATTTTCTTCCTACCGTTATTTATTCTGTTAATTTATTTTTATTTTTTAAATAGCGCTTTGGTTATAATATCGGGGTATTTATAATACTTTCATTGATATTATTTTAATATTTCATAATCTTGCACTTGGTTTCCTGCGTTACCATTTATATTATTAATGAACAAAATCATCATTCCAACCATTTTAAAACTGCGTTTATATTAATTATAACATTAGCTAATTCTAATCCCATTTGGATACTTTATGATGCTGTTATAAGATAATGTGATAAAAGTGTTCAGTTTATCTGATTTAAATAATGTAACAAATTTTTAACAAAAAGTTCCATATCTGCTTCTCTGCTTAAGGAGGGAAACAATTTTTCTTTTCTTTAAAATTGAACTTTTAAGTTTTTCAAGGATAAAAAAAATCAGTCTCTCCAGTTTCAAAATGTATTTTATTTGAAGTCAATGCTTATAATAATTTTTAAATTTAGCAAATTTTTGAAAGCTCTTAATTCATTCACCTTACCTTTTTTTCCTAAATGTCGGATATTTAATTCAACAACCATTGATCTAATACAGATATTTTGTTGAAATTGCATTGCAAATTATTTGTATTGAAATTGCAAATTACTAGCATATAACTATACTTTTAGATGTTAGATTGGTTATTGAAAATTATTAATGTATTTCTTAAATATTCTTCTGAATTAAATATGATACAGTATTTATTTCGCAAATAATAAAGTTTGAAATGCATTGATTAAAAGTTTAAAACTATGTTTATTCCTATAAATCTGAGATTTAAGTTTTTTTAAAGACATTTAATGATGAACGGCTAAAAAAGGGATCTTTGCCAGCATGTCTGAAGAAGGTTTTAAAGAACTCTTTTCAGAAATTCGATGAATACCAACTAGGTAAGAATGATTTTTTATTATTTGTTTTAATTTATGTTTTTTCTCTCTTGTAAAATTGTGTTTTATTTTTATTTATTAAATTTCCTAATTTGTAAAAATTGTTTTTTGAGTCTAAGATGTTTATTAGTGTATAACTTGCTGAACGAGAATAAATTATATTGTCAACAAAAATTTTTAATGATGGGAAGTCAGGGTTCTAATGTGCCTAAAATGTTAAGAATACCAGAAAAAGTCAGAGAAAATGAAATTATACAAAAAGTCAACGAAGTGCATAATTTTATGCCAAAACCTGGAATTATAAGAATTTTTCACCTTATCAAATCTCAGGTTTGTTTGCAGTTGTGCAGAATAATATTAAAAAATAATAAAATTTATTGCCTAATTTATAATTACTGTATAGATTATCAAAATTCTTCTTTCATGCTTTCAGAAGCTAAGAGAGTAATTAGATATGCGTGTTTTAAAATACTCAAAACTTTTATCTTTACATTCTAAGAACAACATTTTAAAAACAACGAAGAGCTCATTGAATTCAAATCTTTATGCGGCATTTTATGTTTGGCTAGTTCTGGTTCCATGCTTTCAAAGATCTCTTAAATATCCACCAATTCAAAGGGCAGATTTACCATTTTTTCCTCATAAAAATTTTATTTTATTATTCCACTATTTTCTGCTTTGAAGATACCAATCCTTTACTACTGCATTGCTGACAATCAAAAACCTTCCATCATACTATTTTTTTAAAAAAAGAAAAAATTTTATATGGTAAAAAAAATTTTCTTTGATATTTTTAAAATTCCACAAAAGCCAAATAGTAACTAACAATTTTTAAACTTCAAGCATTTTTTAATGCAAGCTGTTTCTAAAATTTAAATGCAAAAATAGTGTAATTCTGTACTATTCAATTTCAAACTTTTATCACTAAGACATTTTTTAAAACTTAAAATTGGGAAACTCTATGAATTCGGGGAAAACACTGATAGAAATGCATTTAATTTTTTAAAATTCGTCGAAACTCTAATAGAAAATTTTTTTTAAATTGCTAAAATTCAAACTTTTTTCAAATGTAAACTATTTTAAATTTAAATGTAAAAATTTTATCTTTTTATTATTGTTTCAAATAAAATTGCGGCATTTTCTAGAATTTTTCAAAGCATAGAATTTTTCATGAAACTTATTTCATATCCTAAAATCACATAAAAAAATTTTTAAATACTAAAATATTATCTAAATATTTTTGTTATTAAAATTGCGGAATTCTATAAATTCCTGCGAAACATCGATAGAAATACATTTGATTTTCTAAAATTCCACAAAACCCCAAGTCTAAATTTAGTATTATTTTTAAATGTATGTTTTTTTAATATTGTTTTAAATGAAATTGCGTCATTTTCTAGAATTCTTCAAAACACCGATAAAAATGGAACAAATTTCAATCGCTAAAATCGACGCGATTTTTTCTGAAAATGATATTTCAAATTTAAATACAAAACCATTTCTATCTGTACATTTTTTTCAATTCAAATTGTGAAAATCTATTTTTTTCCTCAAAGTATCAAAGAAATGCATTTTTTTGGAGATTTTTCCCCATTGTGATTTTACAGGCCCACTACAATTGCCAAGGTGCAAAGTAGATTTTAATCTTTTAAATTTGAAAAAATAAGTAAATAAATAAAAAAGTTAATAAACAAAGAGGTTTTCCACAGAAGTTTTTTAATCTTTCAAATTTGAAAAAATAAGTAAATAAAGTTAATAAACAAAGAGGTTTTCCCCGGGGATGGCTAATCATTCAAGTTGGTCCTCTTTTGTTTTCATTTCTCTCAGGCCGCTGACTAGAAATTGCCAAGACTTATTATTCTGCCATAGAACACGATACAGAAATCTTCCCTCATTTTTTTTCTAATCAAACGTATTTTCTTTTCAACAATAAATATGATAGTTTAAATTTAATACGAAACAAATGAAAAAACAATAATTTTTGAATTAAAATTGTGGACATTTATAAAATTCTGCAGAACATTTATCGAAATGAAATTGCATTATTAAATATTTTATTTATACATAAAATATTTATTGAAATAATTATATACATACCTTGATTATCTTTATTTCTCCTGTATTATTCTTTTTCCGCAGGAGATCCAAATGCAACATCGACAATCTCAGATATTTTTAAATTCAGAAGCACGCTAGTATTAAAATCAAACCAAAATCAGCAACTAAGTATACCGTTTAGGGTTGATATAATATTTCTAAAGTGGATGTGTGATATCTGATATCAAGGATATGATGTATGCGCCTTAAAGTTAAATGATACCACAAAATATTGTATTAATGTAGGGGAAATTTCCAGCTGTTGAAAAAATAAGCAGAGGAGATGTTCTAAATAATGCCTGCAAGTTTTATAGTAGTATTTCTTAACCCCTAAGACAATTCCGTGCCATACCTTCACCTTGCTCTTCCACTGCTCCAGTCTGCAGCGGACACAGGGAGTTAGGTTGGGGATGGGTTAGCACTGAGTACAGAGAAGGGCCGGTGTAGTTAAGTTCAATATTTCGGTATTACCAAAGGATTTACTTGCAAATATCTTTACCACAGTATCAAAGAAATGACGCTAAATGAGGGCATTACATTATATCTCCCAGCCTTATATAAAATTGTATATAATTTAACCCCTTATTTCCGAAGTGTCACGAAAAAACATCTACATGCAAACTCCGGATAGGTGTTGTTTCATGACTCTCCAGGTATATTTCTATAGGATTCCAGGTATAGGATTGTCAGTTAACATCAATTAGTTCCCTCCCTATGCATTGTTGAAAAGTTTTCTCCTAAGGTTGCTATTCTTAACTTTAAAAATTGCAGGCATGGCTCTTAGAGAAAGTGCCAAACACCAAATTTTATCTTCTAATGCAAACTTCACAAAAAAGACACTGTTTTAAATCAACAAATGGACGTATCCTGTGCTATAACGAAATGCTTCACAGCCCTTTTTTATAATAAATAAATAAATATTTTTCAGAATTGATGTTAAAGTATTTACAATTATTTAATCAATAAGAATTTATAATTGTGTCAAATTACAATTAAAACTAAAACATAGCGTTTTTTTATTCTTCGTGGCAATTCCTAAGAGCTGCTATACTTTAATAATTCTTTTCTCTTAGCCACAAGAGTTTGTCATAGTGCAACCGTTAAGCAAACTTCGAATAATTATGGAACATATATTAATTTCTTCGGTTTAATAATTTTTCTTTGCATTAACACTATAAATTTCAAAACGAAATTATAATTTTTTTCATATCACATTATGAAATTTTATTTTTGAAGCAAAAAAAAAAAAAACAACCATTTAATCAACGGCTATGTTCATTTGTGGCAATTTGACTTGTTAAAATCGTGCTAAATATAAGTATATATGAATTTAAAATTTTTTCTTTTAACTGAAACGTAAAATAAACTGTTGCCATATTGGATTTCCATGTCGAGTTTACTGACAAAATAGCCTAAACTGACGAAACTGTACTTCACTCTAACCACATTAAATATTCGCTATTCATAGGAATAAGAAAGTTGTTTAATTAATTCTGTCAAACATTGATTAACATTTCTTTTACACTTGTTAAAATACATCCGTGGTTAAAAAAAAAAAATAAATAAAAGAAAGAAGGAAAAAAAAACACTTTTGTAATAGAAAAAAAAAGCGTTTGTTATTAGCTCATACAGAAATTTGTTTGATATTTCAACTTAATTACCTAATACAATTCTTATTCTCAAGTCTTTGGAGGTTATGATGCTTGAGCAATTACTTTATACTTAATTTTTCTTATTAAAAAGTGGAATCAGAAAAGTGGTAGTTTCTCGCGGAATTTTTTTTCAAAACAATATATCTAGTATACAGAGGAAATGTACTGTTTTATACGTACATATACGAATTAATGTGCTTTTGAGCAGGTACACAAGGAAACCTCAGGAACACTTACAAAAAACTTTCGAATGATAAAGATCAATGCTTTATTGTTAAATAATAATACGCCGCATAAATCGATAAAGGAAAAAAAAAAGGTTTGAAATTGAAAAAGGACTGATTTCTTGTTTTAGTTACTTTTTTAAATTTAAAAATGTATAACAACATTAAAACTTATATTTTTCATTATGATATGCGTCGTTATGTTACTCGATATTGATCGCGAATAAAGAAACTTAGACATTATCTTTTAATATTTTATGGTGCATAAAAATATTGAAAATACAATACATTAATGTCTACAAATTTATTTCAATGTAAGAAAAGATACGAATTTATTCTAAGGAATTTTCAGTATTTCTACTTTTTTCAATATCTTTTTCGTTTAATTTGGTTCAGACAATGTTTAGAAATAGACGACCTAACAAATATTTGAAAGCCTTTCATTTGTCATACAAAAATCAAGTTTTTATCGATCAAAATACTACTTTAATTTCTCATTGATTCTCAACCTCATTGATATCAAACCGTTTTAATGTTATTCAAAATGCTAATGATTAGTATTAATATTTTACTAACTTTAAATAATAAATATTTTCTTTTTTTTTTCTTTTTCTTAACTATGCGTAATCATTTTTTTTTCATAAAAATCATTCAGTGTTCTATTTCAAATTTATATTACTGTGGTAGTACTCCCTTAGGAATATTTCTTTCTTTTTTTTTTTTTCGCGGCAAGGGAAAAACTAATGTTTGTAAGTATTCTGAGTAATGATTTGCACAATACGGTTGTCCACTATTTGCTTTACATAGAAAAATTTCACAAAGCTCTTTGACTCCTCTTCACCCCAGGACATCTAAACTATCCCGCTAACCCACTGTTACCAGAGGCAGAAATTCTTTCAATACTTGTCTATTCCTTCTTCATTGTTACTTGTGGAATTACAATAGATGCGGAAAGGCATTGTAAGGTATTGCACACAGTAAACGTCACTGTAGCGTATCTACCACTACAAAATTACATTTACAATNTTAA